TGACTTGTGAGGCAAATTCAAGAGCCAGTCGGAAAGAGAGGACTCTGCACGTAAAGCCACTGAGTTTGGTCGCTGACCGCCGTTTACATTCCAGGTGCCACAAAATACCCTCACCGTTTCCGGAATGGTAAATTTGTCACGCTGCTCAACCACGGTCGAGAGAACACTTGGATTGGCTTAAAAAATGACAATGCATTTGTTACCAATGCGTGATTTGACGAAGACTGGTGTTCGGTCATTCAAAATACGTTTCACTGAATAGTTAAGATTGACATCGTGAAGAACCATGGAGGGTAACAATAAATATTCATATCCACAAAGGAAGAAATCTGGACCATAAATTTCAAGTTGAGCATATGGGGACGTGAGCAAATAACAAATAATCTCCAGCATCATCGCTGACCAAAACGTCTCCTTCAGTTAATCTAAGCTGTTAAATAAAATCCTGGCCTTACTTTCACTATGACTGCTAAGGCATGAAAAATACTTCAAAATGAAAAGCGAGAGGTCGCAACCTTTGGAACGTTGGTCTTCAGTAAATTCAGTACCCCACATACAGTGTACAATAGCAAGAAAATTACTACGTAATACATACAAGCAAGAGACGACACTTTAAGGCTGATGAATTCATGGAGGTACGAATAAAGTGGAATACCACTGATTTTTTGTACAACTCAGTTTTTTTTGTCATGAAAGTGAACCCTGAGAGTAGCATGTTTTAAATCTGTGTGAAGCAAGTGGGCGGTGTTATACACTATTCGTTCAACGAAGAGGAATGAACTGTCATCACGTCTGCACAATGATCTTAGTAAAGAGACCGTACGAAAATCCTCCAGATCTCATAACTGCCCTAATACATCGCTGCAAGAACGCAAAATCACCTTAAGGCTCAAAATAAACGAGAAAAGCACAAGAGATAATTGGCATCACATAATGCCTTGTAATTCGCCAGCGCTAACCAAATCAGGCTTCAAACAAGCGTAAACGGCGAAGGTAGAAATTAGCTTTCATCACCTTATTGATTCCGTAAACCATGTGATCAGCCAATTTTAACCTGTCACTAATGAGGATACCGAGATAATTTACTTTATTCACCAGGGTGACCCGCGTCTGGGTTAGATTAGTTTCATCCCAGCAATGTTTACGAGATCATACTTCCGAGTGTTTCCCCCATGTTTAAAGACATTCTCCAGAGACTGATTCTAGTCAAGAACAAATGCGTGAGGGCTGGGTTAGCCTAACGGTTTCCTGATTTAGTTCCCACATTCTTCGAGGAGAATTCATGGTTTCTGACTATTGCAATGACGGTACTATATTCTGCATATTTCAAATACAGTTGTGGTAGTTAAAGTCTAAAGCTGCTCTTGTACAGGGCGAAAAGTAGCGCGGAAATAAATGAATCTAGAGGACCAAGATGTTGTCAAACAGCTGTTGCGAATCGGAGCCATTAAAGCACATATTTCATGATGGGAGGTCTATACATTACCCCTGTTTATTAGTTTACCGTGATCTTCGTCACGACATAACCAGTGCACATAGTTTTCTGGTTTATTCACATATTGTGATTTATATTTATCTACCTCTGGAAGATAAACAGGAAATTAGCTGGCCGAACTAAAGATCTTTTAGCGCCGGTTCAAGGTTCTACTGACTGAATTACGTTGAAAATA